CCGTGTCCTCCTGTCCCTTTGTCCCTTTGTCCCTTTGTCCCCAACCAGGCCAAGCGACTCTTCGATGTCCTGCACGAGCCGTTCCTCAAGAGCCCACGATGAGCCCCAAAAATCCCCCAAATCCCCAAAAAATCCCCCCAAAAAAATCCCTCAACAATCCCAAAAATCTTCCAAAAAGCGCAAAAAGAAAAAAAAAGAAAAATCCCCCCAAAAAAATTCCCAAAAAAATACCCCCAAAATCCCAAATATCTTCCAAAACGAAAAAAAAACAATTCTCCAAAAAAAATCCCCAAAAACCCACCAAAAAATTCCCTCAAAATCCACCAAAAAAATCCCAAATGCCCCAAAAATCCCAAAAAATATCCGCCAAAAAATGCCCCGAAAATCCCCCCAAATCCCCAGAAAACCACCAAAAAAATTCCCCCAAATGCCCCAAAAACCCCAAAAAATATCTCCAAAAATCCCCCAAAATCCCACCAAAAATCCCCCCCAAAAATCCCCAGAAAATCCCCCAAAAATTCCTCAAACACCCCAAAATCCCCAAAAAAATCCCTCCGAAATGCCCCAAAAATCAAAAAAACCCCAAAATCCCTTTATTTTTTATAATAAACGACATTTAATGGCGACACAGGTGACAGAGGTGACAAAAGTGACACTCGGGGGTCACTCCTGCTCCTCCCGCTTCTGCTTCTTCCTCTTCTTCCTCCTCCTCGTGGCCTCCTCGGGGGGTCCGGGGCCCTCTCTGGGCTCTGTCCCCGCGGGTGGCACCGTCCCCGTGTCCCCAGGTGCCACCTCGATGTCCTCAGGTGCCACCTCGATGTCCCCGGGTGCCATCCTCATGTCCCCAGGTGCCACCTCGGTATCCTCAGGTGCCATCCTCATGTCCCTGGGTGCCACCCCGATGTCCCTGGGTGCCATCCTCATGTCCCCGGGTGCCACCCCGGTGTCCCCAGGTGCCACCTTGATGTCCTCAGGTGCCACCCCGGTGTCCCCAGGTGCCACCTTGATGTCCTCAGGTGCCACCCCGGTGTCCCCGGGTGCCACCCCGGTGTCCCCAGGTGCCACCCGGGCCGTCCCCGGTGTCCCCCCGTAGCTGCGGGCGATGCTCAGGGTCCCCCGCAGGGGTGGGGCGCAGGCCAGGGCGCCCCCCGGGGACATTGGGGACAGCAGGAGGGGACAGTCCCGTCCCCCCGGGCCGCCCCGCAGCACCCACAGCTCGCCGCCGGCGTCACCCGCGTCACCCGCGTCACCGGTGCCACCGTCGCGGGGGGGACGGAGCCGCTCGAGGCCGTCCAGGGGCACCGGGCAGCCCTCGAGGCTGGGGGGGACACGGGGACATCGTCAGTGGCACTGTCACCCCCGCGGTGGCACTGTCACCGCCATAGTGTCACTGTCACCCCCACAGTGTCACTGTCACCCCCACAGTGTCACTGTCACCCCCAGTGTCACTGTCACCCCCACAGTGTCACCCTCAGCCCCACAGTGTTACTGTCACCCCCACAGTGTCATTGTCACCCCCCCAGTGTCACTGTCACCTCCACAGTATCATTGTCACCCCCAGTGTCACTGTCACCCCCACAGTGTCACTGTCACCCCCACAGTATCATTGTCACCCCCAGTGTCACTGTCACCCCCACAGTGTCACTGTCACCCCCACAGTGGCACCCTCAGCCCCACAGTGGCACTGTCACCCCCACAGTGTCACTGTCACCCCAAGAGTGTCACCATTACCCCCGTAGTGTCACTGTCACCCCCACAGTGTCACTGTCACCCCAAGAGTGTCACCATTACCCCCGTAGTGTCACTGTCACCCCCACAGTGTCATTGTCACCNAAAAAATCCCCAAAAACCCACCAAAAAATTCCCTCAAAATCCACCAAAAAAATCCCAAAAAATATCCGCCAAAAAATGCCCCGAAAATTCCCCCAAATCCCCAGAAAACCACCAAAGAATTCCCTCAAAATCCACCAAAAAAATTGCCCCAAAAACCCCAAAAAATATCTCCAAAAATCCCCCCAAATCCCACCAAAAATCCCCCCCAAAAATCTCCCAAAAATCCCCAGAAAATCCCCCAAAAATTCCTCAAACACCCCAAAATCCCAAAAAAATCCCTCCGAAATGCCCCAAAAATCAAAATAAAACCCCAAAATCCCTTTATTTTTTATAATAAATGACATTTAATGGTGACACAGGTGACACAGGTGACAAAAGTGACACTCGGGGTCACTCCTGCTCCTCCCGCTTCTGCTTCTTCCTCTTCTTCCTCTTCCTCGTGGCCTCCTCGGGGGGTCCGGGGCCCTCTCCGGGCTCTGTCCCCGCGGGTGGCACCGTCCCCGTGTCCCCAGGTGCCACCTCGGTGTCCCCAGGTGCCACCTCGATGTCCTCAGGTGCCACCTCGGTGTCCCCGGGTGCCACCTCGGTGTCCTCAGGTGCCACCTGGGCTGTCCTGGTGTCCCTGGGTGCCACCTCGGTGTCCCCAGGTGCCATCCTCATGTCCCCAGGTGCCACCTCGGTGTCCCCAGGTGCCACCGCGATGTCCCTGGGTGCCATCCTCATGTCCCTGGGTGCCACCTCGGTGTCTCCAGGTGCCACCTCGATGTCCCCGGGTGCCACCGCGATGTCCCTGGGTGCCATCCTCATGTCCCCGGGTGCCACCCCGATGTCCCCAGGTGCCATCCTCATGTCCCCGGGTGCCATCCTCATGTCCCTGGGTGCCACCCCGATATCCCCGGGTGCCATCCTCATGTCCCCGGGTGCCACCTGGATGTCCCCGGGTGCCACCCTGGTGTCCCCAGGTGCCACCCGGGCCGTCCCCGGTGTCCCCCCGTAGCTGCGGGCGATGCTCAGGGTCCCCCGCAGGGGTGGGGCGCAGGCCAGGGCGCCCCCCGGGGACATTGGGGACAGCAGGAGGGGACAGTCCCGTCCCCCCGGGCCGCCCCGCAGCACCCACAGCTCGCCGCCGGCGTCACCCGCGTCACCCGCGTCACCGGTGCCACCGTCGCGGGGGGGACGGAGCCGCTCGAGGCCGTCCAGGGGCACCGGGCAGCCCTCGAGGCTGGGGGGGACACGGGGACATCGTCAGTGGCACTGTCACCCCCGCGGTGGCACTGTCACCCCCACAGTGTCACTGTCACCCCCACAGTGGCACTGTCACCCCCACAGTGTCACTGTCACCCCCACAGTGGCACCGTCACCCCCACAGTGTCACTGTCACCCCCACAGTGGCACCGTCACCCCCGCGGTGGCATTGTCACCCCCAGTGTCACTGTCACCGTGAGAGTGTCACTGTCACCCCCACAGTGTCACCGTCACCCCCACAGTGTCACCCTCAGCCCCACAGTGTCATCGTCACCCCCAGAGTGTCACTGTCACCCCCACAGTGGCACTGTCACCCCCGTGGTGGCATTGTCACCCCCACAGTGTCACTGTCACCCCCCCAGTGTCACCGTCACCCCCCCAGTGTCACTGTCACCCCAGTGTCACTGTCACCCCCACAGTGTCACTGTCACCCCCACAGTGGCACTGTCACCCCCACAGTGGCACTGTCACCCCCACAGTCACAGTGTCACTGTCACCCCCCTGTTGTCATTGTCACCTGTGGGGACAGAAGTCGGCCGGGGCTCGGATCAGCCACAGCTCCATGCAGGGACACCCAGAGTCACTGTCACCATCCCAGTGTCACTGTCACCCCCATCCCAGTGTCACTGTCACCCCAGTGTCACTGTCACCCCGTTGTCATTGTCACCTGTGGGGACAGAAGTCGGCCGGGGCTCGGATCAGCCACAGCTCTGTGCAGGGACACCCAGTGTCACTGTCACCCCCACAGTGTCACTGTCACCCCAGTGTCACTGTCACCCCAGAGTCACTGTCACCCCCACAATGTCACTGTCACCCCCCCAGTGTCACTGTCACCCCCCCAGTGTCACTGTCACCCCCCCAGTGTCCCCTCATTGTCACCTGTGGGGACAGAAGTCTGCCGGGGCGCGGATCAGCCACAGCTCCATGCAGGGACACCCAGAGTCACTGTCACCCCCACAATGTCACTGTCACCCCAGTGTCACTGTCACCCCCACAATGTCACTGTCACCCCAGTGTCACTGTCACCCCCACAGTGTCACTGTCACCCCGTTGTCATTGTCACCTGTGGGGACAGAAGTCGGCCGGGGCGCGGATCAGCCACAGCTCCGTGTAGGGACACCCAGTGTCACTGTCACCCCAGTGTCACTGTCACCCCCATCCCAGTGTCACTGTCACCCCAGTGTCACTGTCACCCCCATCCCAGTGTCACTGTCACCCCAGTGTCACTGTCACCCCCCCAGTGTCACTGTCACGCCCCCGTTGTCATTGTCACCTGTGGGGACAGAAGTCGGCCGGGGCCCGGATCAGCCACAGCTCCATGCAGGGACACCCAGTGTCACTGTCACCCCAGTGTCACTGTCACCCCCATAGAGTCACTGTCACCCCCCCAGTGTCACTGTCACGCCCCCGTTGTCATTGTCACCTGTGGGGACAGAAGTCGGCCGGGGCTCGGATCAGCCACAGCTCCGTGCAGGGACACCCAGAGTCACTGTCACCCCCATCCCAGTGTCACTGTCACCCCCATCCCAGTGTCACTGTCACCCCAGTGTCACTGTCACCCCAGTGTCACTGTCACCCCAGTGTCACTGTCACCCCCACAATGTCACTGTCACCCCCA